TTGTTCTGATCCATAGTCAGTGGCTTTTGCATAGTCAGTGAAGCAGAAGTAGATGTTTTTCTGGAATTCCCTTGCTTTCTCCATGACACAAGAATGTTGGCAATTTGATCTCTGATTCCTCCGTCTCTTTGAAACCCAGCTTGCACATCTGGAATTTCTTGGTTCATGTCCTGCTGAAGCCTGTTTTGATGGATTTTGAGCATAACCTTACTAGCATGTGAAATGAGCACCATTGTATGGTAGTTTGAACATTCTTTGGCATTGCCCTTTTTGGGGGATTAAAATGAAAACTAAACTGACCTTTTCTAGTCCTGTGGCCACTGCTGAGTTTTCCAATTTTGCTGACATATTGAGTGCTGCACTTATCAGGATCATCTTCTAGGATTTTAAATAGCTCTGCTGAAATTCTGTCCTGACTAGTAGCTTTGTTCATAGTAATGCTTCTTAAGGCCCACTTAACTTCACATTCCAGAATGTCTGGCTCTAGGTGAATGACCACACCATCATGGTTATCTGGGTATTAAAACCTTTTTTTTACAGTTCTTCTGTGTATTCTTACCACCTCTTCTTAATCTCTTCTGCTTCTGTTAGGTCCTTTCTGTTTCTTTCCTTTTTTGTGCCCACCTTTGCATGAAATGTTCTCTTGATATGTCCAGTTTTCTTGAACAGATCTCTGAGTCTTTCCCATTCTATTCTTGTCCTCTGTTTATTTGCCTTGTTCATACATGTGTATCTTGATGTGGATGTACATTTGTGTGTGAGTGTATATGAAGCATGTTTGCTGTGTTACCAGGTGAGCGTTGGCGTGCTGAGGTTTCTGGTGAGCCCAGGGATGGCCAGTGTCCTCGGGACACCAGTGGAGTTCTGCCTGAGCACACGCTGACTGAGGGGCGGTCAGCAAGCGTCCTTCCATCCGCCTCCAGCCCTCCCCTGTCAGTTTGTACTTAACCATTTTCTGTTTTATTTCTTTGCAAAAAATGAAAACATGGCAAGTGTGCATTTGTTCATTTATCCCACAAATGTTTCTTTGTTACTGGCATGTCCCAGATAAGTGTCTTGATGGATGCTCAGTGATCTAAAGTCTAGGTGTTGAACTTGGAGAAGGAACTTATGACTGCCAGAGGAAGGATGTGGAAGAGATATTATACAAATGAGTAATTTCTGTGAAGAGTGGGAAGCCGGAGCAGGGGAGGAGGCTATGGGCACGTGGCTGTGGGTGCAACAGCCGCCTCGTCGCCCGGAGGCCTGTGGGGGCAGGAGAGCTCCTGTCAGGCAGAGAAGCCCACAGGGCCCCGTGGGACGCAGATGGAGAGCAGGGAGACAGGAGCGGGCCCGGGGCCTCCAGCCTCGGGAAGGACGCAGGGCCCGGCGTCCCATTGGCGGCCTCTGGGTGCGGGCAGGGAGCACGGCTGGTGTGCGGCCCACAGCCTCCCTAGGCCGGCTGTGTGCACTGGAGGCTGCAGCCTCTGCCTGTCCAGGGGAGCAGGGGTGGTTTGGGCAGGTGTGGGCAGAGAAACCAGGGGAGGGGAGTACCTTCACAGCAGAGCAGCAGCTCAGCGATGAGTTCCTGGGTGTAAGAGGAACAGTGTCGTCAGGGAGCCTTGGTCATTGGCCTGAGGAAGGGGGATGATGAGCCACTTAATGGACCCTCATCAGGCCTCGGCTTCTCCTGTTGCGCAACATTTTCTGCTCTAATGGCCCTATGTCAGAACTTGGGCTCCAGGTGGACAACCCACCCTTTTCCTGACCCCCTGGCACATGTGTCCCTCCTGTAGGCAGTGACTGCTCCTCACTTCTTACCTGAGCGATCTCTCTTCTTGAGATTCCCTAAAAACCCACCTTTGTAAGTGCCCCCAATCCTAGTTGACCCTCGTCTTCTCCCTCACGACACAGCCAGTGGCCCTTATGGAGAAGGTCACTGGACTGCCTTTCCCTGGCCTTAGCTCTAAGCTCCTGGAGGGCCAGGTTCCCACGTGCCCCGCAGATGATAGGTGCCCACCTGACTCTGGACCACATTGGAGACTCAGTGGTTGAAAAGCGCCCTTAGCTGCGAAGCCACATGTTTGTGTCTGAACTTCAGATTTAACTTTGTTTACTAGGTGCAGTTGATTCTTAAACAGTTCATATTGAGATATGATTTTCTTCACTTTATTAAAAACTATTCCAAGTACACACCTATGAATAGAGAACCACATGAACTCACCACCATCACTCTCAGGTTTATTGAATCTTAACATAAAGTTGAATGTGCTTCATACTTTCCATCTTCCAAAAGTGAAGCCTTACGGATGCGATTCCTCAAGGCTTCTGCATCCTCCCCTCACTTCTGGCACCCTGTCCCCAACCTGGACCAGTCTTCCCAGTGTGTGGCTCATAGCATCCCAGGCGTGTTTCTGTCACAAACTGCTTCTCTGTTCCCACTGTAAATAATAACATATAGAGTTGTTTGCAGGTATGTAGTGCAGTGTTGTGGAGACCTGGTTTACCCTTCCTCGGGCTGGTGGGCTCCTGGGTTGTGTCCAGTTTTTGTTGTTAGACCTTGGTTGAGGTGAATTCCCATATCTCCTTGGGTGCAAGAGCAGCAGTCCCTGTAGCAGTGATTCTCAAAGTGGGATCCCAGGCCCAGCATCTCAGCACCACATGGAAACTTGCTGGAAATGCAGATTCCTGGGCCCTGCCTCGGACCTCCTGGACAAGAAATTTTAGTTTTGAGGCCCAGAAATCTGGCTGTTTGAAAATACTCCCAAGGATTCTGATCCAAGCCAGAGTGTGAGAACCTGCTCTAGGATTTTCCTTGAAGTGGAATTTCTGAGTTGTAGGGGAAGATGATCTTCAGCTTGACTTTATTTTTAGTTTGATGTAAAGCATGGTTTACTGCCATATCAGCCTGTGAAAATTCTGTCAGTTCCCCTTCTCATTCAGCAATTAATATTGTAAGACTTCTAGTTTTTGGGATTTGAAACCTGTGTTTTTATGTTTTTATGTTTGTTTGCGAATCTTTGATCACTAATGACACGAACTTTCCTAAGGTTTACTGACTTTGCGTGTTTCCTTTTCTATTGATCATCTCTTCATATTCTTGGCTCATTTTTCCATTGGTTTATTCGTCTTTTCTGATTTATTTATGTTCTTCATATATTTGAGATACTATTCCTTTGAACTGTGGTGTTGGAGAAGACTCTTGAGAGTCCCTTGAACAGCAAGGAGATCAAACCAGTCAATCCTAAAGGAAATCAGTCCTGAATATTCATTGGAAGGACTGATGCTGAAGCTGAAACCAATACTTTGCCCACCTGATGTAAAGAACTGACTCATTGGAAAAGACCCTGATGCTGGGAAAGATTGAAGGTAGGAGGAAAAGGGGACAACAGAGGATGAGATGGCTGGATAGTATCACCATCTCGATGGACGTGCATTTGAGCAAGCTCAAGCTGGTGATAGACAGAGAGACCTGGCATGCTGCAGTCCAAAGAGTGTCGCAAAAAGTTGGACACGACTGAGCACCTGAACTGAACTGAATCCTTTGTCAACTGTGACTTCTTTTGTAATCTGTTTCTGGTGTCTAATTGTGCATATGTTTTAAAATGTTAATTTTAGTTAAGTTTTAAGTCTACTTTTTTCTGTTTTGCAACTTTTGTCTTTAAATTTTGTTTAGAATACCTTCTACATGTTACATATGATAAAGGATGCCAGTTATTTCTTCTTAAGGCTTTAAACTTTGCATTTTGCTGTTATATAATTTGCTCAGAGTTGGTGTAGGGTTTGGAGTGAGACAGGGATCTGATTTTAGTTTTCAGTAGGAATAGTTTGTTATTCCAATTCAGTCAACTTCTTATCAATATGAACTGCATCGCTGTTACATGTCAAGTTCCCACATGAGTATGGGTCTACTCCAGGGCTTTCTGTTTTGTTTCTGTGGTCTTATTTAGTAAGCCTTTTGGCAATAATTCATCTTCTTAACTGTTATGCCCTTAAAATATAAAATACTTGGTAGAGTAAGTCTACACATTTTTTAAAATTATTTAATTATTCTAGACCTTTTACTTTTTCCATGTGAAAACTACTTTCCAAGTTTCCCAAAACACTATTGAGATGTCGATTCAAATCAGTTTGAATTTATAGACTATTTGATGGAGAACTTATAGCTTTACTATATTTAATCTCCATTACATGTACAGTGTATGTTTCCATATATTCAGGATTTCTTTTATGTTCTAAATAATATTTGTTACTTTCCCTACTCAGATTTTGGACATCCTTGATTAAGATTTATACTTGAAAAAGCATCTGCAGTTTCAAGTCCTGTTTTGAGTAGGATTTTAAAAACTTCCCTGCCTATTCTGGCTGGTCTCCTCTAGGGTGCAGACACTGCTGGGTTTTCATTACTGACTTAGCATCCAGATGTCTCGGCCGCTGTCTTATTTGTCAGTAGAGTCTCAGCTCTTTCACATGGCTCCTTGTATTATCTGCAAAATGCATTTTATCTCTTTGTTTCTATATTTTGTATTAACTATGTAGCTTGTTAATTTTTTTGCATTTGAAGATTTCTCATTTTTAGTTAATGTATAGATAATTAAGAAGAGAAAACAGGCCATCTGCTCTTACTTGTGTGGATGTGGACCAGAATTTCCACGATACTCAGGTCAACTTGTTCTCTTGGAGGCAACACTTCTAACCAGAGTGTTCTTTATGCTCAGAATTAATTTGTAAGAGAAAAGAAAAAAATTGAGCACTAATCCACAATTCATTTCTCTTATTCTCTTACAGTTATAGCTTTGAACTTGAATTCTTCTCTGTTCACTTGTACAGTAAACGTGCTGAGTACTTGTGTAAGGAGTTTGAAGCCTTAACTCTAAATCTGCTTTGCACACTTTTTTTAAAAAGCAAGTATTTCTTGTGTCCACAGCTCCGAGAGCAGTTGTTGCTGCTTTGTGGGTATTGATAAAAAAGTAAGTTAACAAGTAGACTCACAGGTACTTGATCAACTTTATTCTCAACAGGACTTCTGAAAACTAAATTAGAATTCCAAACAAGCTGGCGAATTATTCGGAAAATTGCAGGAAATGAATTTGACAGCCTGGATGCAGAGGTGTTTGTGGACATGGTAGCAGAGCTGGCCTGGTGAGCATGTGCTGATCAGACCCGAGATGGAGCAGCACCATCTGGTTATCTGTATCGTCCAGCGGCAGGATGCACTCCTCCTGGGCGAAGGATGTTTGCTGATTTATGCTTCGCTGTGTCAGCCAAGAGATTATTCTCTGAAGATAATTCATGTGCTTTTTTATTCCCCAGATGATACTCTGTGGCTCTGGGTACATGAATGTCAGTTATCCTCTTTGAAATCTTTAGGGAAGTATTTCAAAAGGCAGTTAAGTATAAATTCACTTCCTACCAGCTGTTTAGATTGGCAGACTTTTCGAAAGAAATTCAACTTTCTGCATCAGTGTTTTCAACCATTTTCTGTAACTGCTCTGAAATATACATAGAAACAATTTCACAAACGCCTCATGATTGTGGCTTTTCTAAGTAGATCTGGGTAGAATTGAATTAGAAATAAGTGAAAACCTGTCTTGAGTACTGCTGGGACTGTGAGAACATGCGATAGGCAGATGCCAAGGAGCTGAAGTGCTGAGACGTTAAGTAGCTCGTTTCCACCTGTCACTGGAGTGAACTGTGGAGGACAGAGCACCACGCACGCTGTGGCAGCAGGCTCTGCCCCAGTCTTAGGGAGACGTGGCCGCGGGCTGAGCCGTCACCCTTGAGGTGCTCCCTGGCTGGGTGGGAAGCAGTGTGCCCATGGCTGATGGACCCTTTCCTAGGGATCCTGCAGGAACCTGGGTGTCCACAGTGATGGGAAGAGTAGCTGTGTGGCTTAGGGAAGTGAAAGTGAAAGTCGCTTAGTCGTGTCCGACTCTTTGTGACCCCGTGGACTGTACAGTCCATGGAATTCTCCAGGCCAGAATACTAGAGTGGGTAGCCTATCCCTTCTTCAGTGTATCTTCCTGACCCAAGGATCAAACCTGGTCTCAGGAAATTGACTCAATTCTTCCTCTTCCTCAGGTTCAACATCCATGAAATAAGTGGCTTACAATAGACCATATCCAAGGGTTGCTTCTAAATTCACATTTTTAAAATCAAACATGGAAGTAATTTAATTTGAAGCCTCAGCTTTGGAAATGGTGATTTTCCCTGTTCCTGGAAGCCTGGTGTTGACACATACACACTGATAGACCCTGAATGGTTAGGGTCCTGGTGTTACTTCATATTTTACTCAATAGCTTATAAAACTGATGGACAAGATTGAGGAAATTAACCACAATGCTTTTCCATTGTTGCAGAGAATGTGGGTCATTTGAGTGTGGGTATGTAGTCCTCTCAACAGGTGTATTGACATAAAGTTGGCAGCTGAGCTAACTGCAAATATATGACCCCAGATTGTGTTTTGCTTTACTGTTTGTAAGTTGTTTCTGCATGCACTGTTGTGTGTGAGTGTGTGGCTCTGGTGGGGTGTATTTGGTGTGCTTTATTCCTTGTCGCTGACAGTATGTGGTGGGTGTAATTCAGAGTGGAATGGTCATGTCAATGTATGGCAAAAACCACTGCAATATTGTAAAGTAGTTAGCCTCCAATTGAATAAATAAATTTTTTTTTAAATGTAGGATGGTATTGGAATTGGAGTGGGAGTCAGGGTGTGCACTCACCCTCCACCCCTCGACCAGGCCTGGACCAACCAAGGATGCGTTAATGCCAGTAGCATCATTTTCTCTCTGGCTCAAGGGGCCCAGCCCTAGACAACAAATAATGGTTAAATCCCCAGTATTTAAGAGCTGACAGCCTTAGGCCCACTAGGGTTAAATTTCAGGTCTGGGCTTCCCTGTGGCTCAGACAGTAAAGAATCTGCCTGCGCTGAAGGAGACCACGGTTCAGTCCTTGGGTTGGGAAGATTCACAGGAGGAGGAAGTAGCTACCCACTCCAGTGTTCTTGCCTGGAGAATCCCATGGACAGAGGAGCCTGGGCTACAGTCCATGGGGCTGCAAAGAGCCGGGTGTGACCAAAGGACTAACACACACACTTGAGGCCCCTGAGAAGGGTCATTTCTTAGTTATCACTTCAGGTAGACAGATGCGGCATCTCATCATGTTTCACTGTTTAATTAGGTCCACACTTCTTGAAAATAAAACTTCAGTGTTCTGAAATCTGTTTTGGCCAGAAACACACAGAGAGGGTGATCTCCTGGCTGCAGGAGGCCCTCTTTGATTGTTTCTGGGATGCTTTGATATAGTATTTTAATTTGCATTCAGTTAGATTAATATATATCCACTCATTTGGAGTTACAAGTTATAAAATGTAGGATTTAAAGCTGGCAGTCAAAACAGTATTCTTGTCAATAAACATTTACAGCCATGAAATGATGAGTGTTATGCTTTGGGAGCTCATGGCACTTAGGACTGGTCAGGCCCTGTGTTAACAGTGATAGTTTATTTTTTAGGAGGTAATTTGAAATAGACACTTTAAAATAAAAATTAATATTTATGTTACTCAGTTTTCTTGTCATTTATGAGGATAAGACAAAATATACACTTACTTCTTTTCATATCTCTTTTCTTTGGAATTTAAGTGGTTTGTATTCACAGATATAGAAAAACTGCAAAGTGGATTTAGGAATCTCAAACATAAACTTGCTGAACATCTGAATGTTTTCTAGATGGAGGAGGCCTGAATGGGTCCTTAAATCTGGAAATGATAGGTGTTCAGTGTCCAGTTGGGGTGGTCCTGCACACATGTGGGCTGGAGCTGGACAGCAGACTGACTCCGTGTGCCGCCCGACCTCTGCTGCAGCTGCACTGGAAGGGGGAGCCTCCCCCAGCGAGCCTCCGTCTGTCCCTGATGGCATCTGGTTCGTGAAGGAGGACATGGGTTCCCACTGGAACCTCCGAACGTGCAGCCTGGGCCCCTGGGCTCTGGCTGGGCAGCTTGTACATTAGAGCAGCGCTCCCTGTCTGGTGTGCACCTCTGAGACCCCGTCAGACTCCTCTCTGCCTCGCGCTTCTCCGTCCATGCGGCCACACCCCCGGCCAGGCTTGGCGTGGCCGCCACAGCTGTCATCCTGCGTCCCCCATCCTCTGCCTTCTGCACCGCTTCTCCTGCCAGGACACGGCTGCATGGGGTGGTTGCTTGTGGGAAGATCAAGTTTACCTCAAGTGCGAGGAGAGGGAGGCCCTAGCCCGCCGCTTCCCTGCCTTCTCCGAGAGGCTGCAGCTCACCCTGGAGCACCTTCTGGGCAGGGGGCAAGCGTGGGAAGGCCCAGTTGTCTGAACTGTCCCTCACACAGGAGCACCCTTTCCCTCTGAGCCGCCTGTGCCATCCATTTGGAAATAGGCTGTGTGTATGTGCTCATTCAGTCGTGTCTGACTCTGTGACCGCATGGACTGTAGCGCACCAGGCTCCTCTATCCAGGGAGGATTTCCCAGGCAGGCGTGCTGAGTGGGTTGCCATTTCCTCCTCCAGGGAATCTTCCCGACCCAGGAATTGAGCCTGTGCCCCCTGTGTCTCTTGCATTGGCAGGGGGGTTACTGCTGAACAGCCTGGGAAGCCCTGACTAGAGTAGATTGAGGGGAAAGTGTTGCAATGAGGCTCATCATATTCTTCTCCACTGGCACAGGCTTCTTCTTTATGTTCATAGTGAAGGAAAATATCTTAGGGCCATATTTGGGGGCATATGATCATTACTTAATTGCTGTAATTTAGGTGCAGGACAGAACCCCGAAGTCTTTAGCATGCTCTGTTTTTCTCAGCACGGGTCCATCAGCCCCTCTTTAAACACTCCCAGAAACTGGAAACCAGGCCCTTGATTAGGCTTCCTGTCCGTGTGGTTCAGAATCTGACACTGTGGCCCCAGACCCCTCTCTCTGCAGCCTCATCTCGGCAGCAGGGGGTGCTGATTCTTGCCCCATTTCCTCTTACTCCCCCACATCCAGGAGACCTGGAAGCCCATCTAGGGCAGCTGTAGGGTTGCTGGAGACTTGAAAGGACCTCCATCTATGCTCCCCACCTGGCTCCAGGCCAAGCTGTGGCTCAGCCTCACTCAGTGCCGCTGCTGCTCATGGACCCTCTTCCCAGGTGTCCCAGGCGGGGTGGGCTGTCTGTCCTTGGCGAGGGAAGCAGATGTTACTGACAGCCTGGCCATGGGAACCAGCAGCCCGTAGTACCTGGGTCATAAGAGTCTCAAGGTCACGACTGTGGCTTCTAAGCGTTACTCCCCAGCATTGGTACCTGTGGGCCTCACACGCATTACCCTGTTCATGCCTAGATTTGCCGTTTCTCCCTCCCTATGAATCACCTGTGATTTGCATTCCTAATTTTCTGGGTCTCTCAGTGTCCCATGTGACTTTTCAGGAACAGCTGCTCAGAGTGTTTTTTCCCTGTTTCCCATCCCACGGTGAAGGAAATGGCAACCCACTCCAGTACCCTTGCCTGGAAAATCCCATGGACGGAAGAGCCTGGTGGGCTACAGTCCACGGGGTCACGAAGAGTCAGACACCACTGAGCTACTTCACTTTCACTTTTCACTTTCATGCATTGGAGAAGGAAATGGTAACCCACTCCAGTGTTCGTGCCTGGAGAATCCCAGGGACGGGGGAGCCTGGGGGGCTGCCGTCTATGGGGTCGCAGGGAGTCGGACACGACTGAAGCGACTTAGCAGCAGCAGCATCCCACAGCACCGGGACCCCTGGCTCTGCAGGCAGGCAGGTCTCTCTGGTTTTCATGACCTCAGTGGTCTTGTTCACATGTTGTCTTGTTTTCTCTGTACCACAAGGGCCGTCCTCCATGCCAGGCCATAGGGATGGACGCCAGGATGGAATCAGGCATTTCTGCCATCCTGGCCTCATCCATTGTGCATTGTCTAAGTCCATGACTACACTTTGTGTGCTGTTTACCTGCTGTCACCACAGGTTAAGCGACTATTGAAAGCTGGGTTCAGAGGCAGACTCTTCAAATTAAGTTTTGTTTCTGACTGTCAGGGTTTGCTCTGTGCACGAGAAAGTCTGCCTTTCCTCTGTGTCTTTCCTGGGAGCAACCGGCTTTATTTATTTTCAGTTTTATGTTGGAATGTTTTGAATTCTGCTGTGTTTAATCATCTGAACTTTGTGTTCCTGATCATTTTAATTAGCAAACACAAACCCCTTAAGCTTGATTTTTCCAATTTGGTGGAGAAGGGGAGGTGTCATTGAAGGGAGAAGATGTGATGTCAGGTTTATCCTTGTGGCAGTTGCTGGATCCTTATTATAGCGTTGATTCATTGTGATATCAAGCTATTTGAGAGCTAAGGAAGGACGATGTTGTTATAGTTTGATTGTATGGATTTTTTTGCTTTGAGCCTGATGGCAGTAACCTTGGCAGTAAATGCAAGGATTTAGATTTGGGCTTTGATGATTATGAGCAAATCACACTGATACTGACTACATGTTAGAATCTATGTCACGTAAGACTTAACTTCATCATCTATGCTTGAGGATTTCTCAGTCTCTAATCCCCATTCATGTTTCTAACTGGGAAATGACTCTGAATAATTCTGTTTTGAGTAACATTCTAGGAAGTGAACCCAACACTTCCTAAGTGGTGTATTTTGCCTTCCACTCAAGTGTTTATTGAGAATGTATTTTCTCAACTTTCTTGTGACAATTGTACCAGTTTTACAATCACTTTGAAAAAGTTTGTTAACATCTGAGAAGATAGTTCAACACTTAAAATTTTATTTTTAAAGTTTCTCATCAGCTCCATCAGTCATGTCCATTGCTTCAAATGTAAATCCTTGTCAGTTATTTAAAGGTGTCACAATGTTTGTGTGTATATTTCCAGTTAATTAAAAAGATTTCTACATTTCTACCTTTATTATTTGTATTTAAGGAGAATACATGACCTTAAGGACACCTGAAGAAATGGGCGTGTAAGAGAAAGAACGTTGCTGTTGTTTATTCTGCGACTCTGTTTTGTGTTTATCTCAGGGTGTCTCGTGTATCACTGTCTGGCCTTGAGGTTGTGCCTGTTGGGTGCAGTCAGGGTCTGTCTCGTCCTGAGGCTGCTCTCAGCCACGCTCAGGATTCACGTGTGTGACCTTTCACTGTCCACCTTCCTGTGCTGTGGCTGCAGGACGGCATGTTCCTGTTCTGGCTTCTGATTCAAAAGCTCTCGTGACAGTCAGTCCATGGGAGCTTCGTCCACGGATAAGGCGAGCCACCTCGGTTGCTTATGAAACACGCATGACAGCGTCTCCCGGGAAGAAGCCCGTGTGCTGTGGAACACACAGCAAGTCACGACTCTGGGGCCCGCTGTGGACTGGAGGACCTGTCACAGTGGGCGTGACCAGAGGAAGATTCTAAAGAGGAGCTCTGGACACATCCGGTGACGCCACCTTTGGGATGGTGCTCTCTTCCCGGGGATGTGTGACTTGAGGGCTGTGGTCAGCTGGGTCTGGGTACATCCAACACGTGCCCGTCCTGCCACCTCATGGCCGGTCACACGCCCTACCTACGGGTCGGTCCTCCTCTGGTTGTGAGGCGTCGCAGGCCAGTGTGTCCTGGTGGAGACTGGCTGGAGAGGCAGTATTGGGCAGTCTGGAGATGCTGCTGAAGCAGCTCATGTCCCCTGGCACTGCGATGGTGATGTTCAGGGACCTGGAAAGCAGTGATCCCGTGTGGTCTGATTTCATCGGCAGAAAAGGACACCCTGGTCTGCCCCCATCCCCATCACGTGCACGCTGTCTCGGAGCCAAGCACCCAGCAGCTGTGTGGTCCCCTGGCCCCAGCCTGCCTCCAGCAGTGCTCGCTGCCCCCTTCAGACCTCGTACCCTTGTATGCTCTTCTCTTCACTTCATTACTGTGCAGCTTTGTATAATTGGGAGCCAGTTGATTATTTTCCCCTTGTTACATCAGCCACCCCCAAACCGTTCCTGCATGCTGGGAGTGACCGTCTTCCCTGGTGGCCGTACTTTCTTTAATGCCCTTGGAGGAGCCACACTGAGGCCTGGCCCGTGGTCACCCCTCCCGCGTGCCCCCCGTTCCCACCCGAGTAGTGGTGCCTGCCCTGTCCTGTGTCCTGGCCAGCTCTGCAGCATTGCTTTCTCCAGCTCAGGCAATGCCACACACTTATCTTTTGCAGAAAAATTCCATTTATATTTGTACTCTGAGAGCTTGAATGTACAGTAACTAAAATAGATGTTTCTTAACTTGCTTCATGGAAAGTGACCTCCAGTCACTGATAATCACTAAAAGAAAACCACGTCTCAAGGCTCTTTAATCATCCGAGACTTCTGTCTGCTCCTGGGTTGGTGGCTGCGTAGAGTTGAACTTAATAAACTTAATAAGAAAAGCCAGTGGTTCCTTGAGCTTCATAACAAGTGTATACACATGATCTCAAGTCGTAGCTGGAACATTAGGAAGCAGGAGCTGGCCAGACAGTCTGAAATTGTTCCCTGGACTCTCGGGCTCATGACCTGGATGCAGTGGCATCTGAGAAGACCCAGTGGGCCTCCAGCGCCCCTCGGGCTGGACATGTGCCTGACAGCCTGAACTCTGGCCCCAGGAGGGAGGCAGGGAAGGATTAGAGAGGGGTCATGCTGGTTCTGGGGAAAGCAGGATTTGGAGACGGCTGAGAACATGTCACCACTGATTTACAAGACAGTTTGATGTTAAAAGTCAAGTTCAGGCCCTTTTTCATTCTTCCTCACGTCCTCAACCAGCCTGTGTCCACACAACTGCCGCTTCTGCCATGTTTCCTCTCTGCCTCCTCTAAAACCCAGTTTTCCTTCTGCAGCTGTGTCAGTTTTCCTCCAGTGCAGATGTTTTTCCAGGTTTCATCATCTGCACTTCTCGCTTGACCGGTCCCTGGAGCTGCTGTCCACGTTTCCTGCTTTGAGCATCACTGGCCTGCGGGTGGACCTGGGGGTCTCTGTGCTTCCTGGGCCTTGCTCCCAGGGCTGTGTGTGTCTCGGCAGGGCAGGGACAGTGCCCCTGCACTTGGCCTCTCTCTCAGTCAGCCTGTCCCCTCACTGTCTCCCCACTTCCAGGCCCCCGTGGTCTCCAGGTCATTCTTCTCTACACACCATCACCCCTGGGTTTTCTGCCTCTTCTCCTTGCTCTGGTCACACCTGCATCTCACATCTTGCCGACGGTCCCAGGAAAGTCGAAGGTTGGCGCTTCCCGAGCCATGGGGGGCTGTGTCCCCCTGCTGTCTCTTGCCTGCTCCTTGGGGTCCGTGTGACGGGCTGGAGGAGTGGGTGACCAAGCTGACCAACCGGTGTATTTATTCTCCGGCCCTGAAATGCCAGCTGCACCTGATGCTCAGCACCAGCTCCTCACTCTCTGTCCTCTGATTGTTCAGAACAAACAGAAACCACCCAACAACCCCATAAAACGTCCTGTGGCGGCAAATACTGAGTGACCTCAGGCCTTTCCTTCCCCTGGCACCAGATCTCAGGCATCTCCTTGTGGTCGTTCAGTAGTTGTGCCACCCGGAGCCATAGGTTCCAGTCCCCTTCCGCAGGACACAGGGTCACCCTGGTCAGTCACCCCGTCTGCAGACCAGATCAGATCAGAGATCAATTCCAGGGTCAGCTGATTTTCTTCAGGTGGCCATCCAGCTGTCCACACCTAAGTTAATCCATTAAGCCTTCTTCGTCCAACTTTAATTGAGTCACAGTATTTCCCACTCGTACTTTGGTTTATTTCTAGATTTTTCTTTGCTTCCATTGCTCTAGCGGTTTCAGGCCACATTCACAGTAAGCTTTGTAGTAACTGACAGGGTTATCCCCCTTTATCTCCTGACATGTCTGTTCATCCAGGTAAACTTTAAAATCATGTTTCAAGTGTCCAAACAATCCTGTTTGAAATTTTGTTTGGGATTATGTTGGATTTACAGATAAAGTTGGGAAGAGCTGACACAGAGACTCTTATCACAGAGCACTGTGCATGTCTCCATTGATTTGAGTACACTAAATAATCTTTATTCATATTTTATTCAGTCTTCACAGCCTTACATTATTTGCCACCCTGAGATACTTCACTAGATGGGAGGCAGCAGCCGTGTGCTACTGTGTTTTTGTTGACTTTATTCTTAAATATTCTGCAGTTTTTGCTTTAGCAGGTCAGTGCATGTGCATTCATGATAGATTTGGACTTTTACTATTTATCTGTTATGAAATCTCCTTTCTATTGAAAGTCTTGTCCTGAACACAACTATAATACATCTCAATTCTTGTTGATGTCTGGTTATTTGGGAGACCTTGAGTTGGATTTTATTTTTTGACACAGTTCTCATTTTTCTCTTTCTGGGTGATTTTATCCTATTGAACATAGCATATATCTTGTGGTAGTGTTTAAGTTTATATCATTGCTTGTACATGCTTGAAAGCTTTAAAAGATGATGTTTTGCTCTATACTGTGTGTATTCCGTGAACTTTCTTCTCATTCTTCCCCATAAATTTAGAAGAAATTTATTCTGTTTTTGTTTTATTTTAAATAGTGTATGGAAGTCTCCGTTTCTTGATTATGGAATTTCAAAGCAAGAACTTGGAAAGGTGAGGAAGCATTACACTCTTTTAACTAAAAGCAAACTTTCCTTCTACCCAAGGAAAGGTTTCCTCATTTGAAAAAGCCAACTCTGTTGAGAAACACTTCACACACTACACAGTTTACCCATTTGCAGTGTATAATAATCCTATGATTTTGAGTTTATGCAACATCACTACAATTTCAGAACATTTTCATCCCCTTGTCCTCCCAGCCGTCACCCGAGGCACTCCTGATCTGCTTCATGTCTCTGTTGAGTTCCCTGTTCTGGACGATTCATGTCAGTTGAATCATGTGACATGAGGTCTTGGGAATTTTTCACTTGAACATAATGTTTTCAAGGTTGAGTTCATTCACATTTGTGTTTGAACTTTATTCCTTTTTAAAATTAATATTTTTTTAATCTTTAAAGGTTAAATTTTTTGTTACTCTAATTATGGAAAAATACATGTAACTTAAAATTTGTCATTTTAACCATTCTTAAATGTCCAGCTCAGTGGCATCAAGTACGTTCAAACTGTTGTGCAACCATCACCACCATCCTCTCCAGACCTTTCTCAGCATAATCAGTTTATTTCCAAATCCAAAGTCATAAAACTGTGCCACAGGTCTTTCCTCTAAGAGCTCAGGCAGTTTATCCATTGAGAATTAGTGTGTGTGTGAGATTAGGGCCCTGCCTCGTCCTTTTGTGCATGGCTGCTGGTTGTCTCAGTACCATCTGCTGAGAAGTCTCCTCTCCCCGTTCAGGCGTCTTGGCCCGTTTGTTGAAGGTCATCTGACCATGAAATATGTGAATTTACATCTGGAGTCTCAATTCTGTTACACTAATCAGTTCTGTGCCAGAACCACACTGTGTTGATTACTGTTTTGTAGGAAGTTTCAAAATCCACATGTGAGTCCTTCAACTTTTTGTTCTTTTTCAAGGTTGTTTTGGCTATTCTGGGTCTGTTGCTATTTCGTATGCATTTTGCAGTCATATTGTTAGTGTCTAAAAAGAAGTCAGTGGTGCGGATAACATTGAATCTAATCAGTCTGAAGAGTGTTGCCACCTCAACATTATTGTCATCTGATTCATAAACTTGAGATGCTTTTTTGTTTGTTTAGGTATTTAATTTCTTTCAAAAGTGTTTGTAGTTTTCAGAGTATAAAGTTTTCTTTTGTTAAACTTATTCCTAACTATTTTATTCTTTTTGATGCAGTTGTAAGTGGAACTGTTCTCATTTTTTGTGGGTCCTGTATTTATCTTTTATCTCAGTATAATTGATTTACAGTGTTTTATTAGTTTCTGCTTCACAGCAGAGGGAGTCGGCTGCACGCACAGTTGCACACACAGTTGCACGCCCTGCCTCCGGAGCCTCCCCCCACACGCCGCACCCCGCCCTCTGGACCATCAGCTACAAGCACACTTACACGCCCTGCCTCTGGAGCCTCCCCCCACACACCGCACCCCGCCCTCTGGACATCAGAGAGCACCGCGCTGAGCTCCCCGTGCTGTGCAGCGGCGCCCCGTCAGCCCCCTGGTTTAGAACTACGGTTGTTTTTTTTTTATATCAATCTTGTATCCTTCAACCTTATACAACTTATTTATTGGATCTAATTGTTTTTAATGTATTTCTTAGAATTTTTTAGGTACTGGATTATGTCAACAGCAAATAGTGTTAGTTTTACTTCTTCCTTTCCAATCCGGATGCTTCTGTTTCTTTTCACTGCCTTTTTTGGGGCCTCTAGCCACTTAGCAGCAGCAGCAGTGTTACATTGAATAGAAGGGGTGAAAGTGGGCATCCCAGTCTTATTCTTGCTCTTTGGGAGACAGCATTCAGTTTCTCTCCACTAGGTATGATGTTAGTTGTAGGTTTTCGTAGATGTCTTTTTCAAATTAAGGTAGCTCCCTTCTATCTCTAACTTGCTGAGGGTCTATCAAGAATGTATAATTATTTTTATATGTCACCGGATTAGTTCTGCCAATATTTTATGGAGAATTTTTGCATCCATGTTCATGAGAGATATTTATCCTTATCCTTCTTTTCTCATCAAGTCTTTGATTTTGGTATCAGGGTAAACTGATCTTATAAAATATCTTGGAAGTGTTCCCTTTTCTTACACTTTTTGGGATGAATTTGTGTTAATTCTTCCTAAACTTTTGGAAGAATTTGGTGGAGAAGCTACTTGGGTTTGAGCTTTTCTTTGTGAACACATTTTGTTTACTGGATTTGAGGAATTTGTCCATTTCATCTAAGTTACCTAATTTGTTGATGCAGGTTGTTCATAGTTTTCTTTTTTAGTCCTTAATCCTTTCCCCCTGTAAAGTTTATATAACATCCCCTGTTTCATTCCTGATCCTGAAGGTCATTTGAACCTTCCCTTTTTTCTTGATCATTCTAACTAAATGCATGTTTCATTGATCATTTCAGAGAACTAGCTTTTGATTTCATTTTTCTCTTTTGTTTTTTCATTTCTTCCTCTTTATGTTCTCTATTACACAAGTTTCTGCTTTAATCTTATTATTTTCTTCCTTTGTGTTCACTTTGTTCTTCTTTTCCCAGTTTTTTAAGCTGAAAGTGTAGCTTGCTTATTTGAGATCTTTCTTCTTTCTTAATAAAAGCATTTATAGCTATACATTTTCCTCTAACTATTCCTTTAGCAGTCTTCGTTTTCATTAATCCCGACATATTTTCTGATTTTCTTTTTGATTTGTTCTTTGCCCCATTGGTTATTTAGGAATGCTTTGTTTAATTTGCGCATACTTGTCAGTTTCCCCATTTCTTTCCTGTTATTGATATCTCATCCTATTTCATTGTGATCAGAGAACATAATTTGTGTTAACACTCTACTTTTAAATTTGTTGAACTTTTTCTATGGAGTATCACGTGGTCTTTTCTGGTGCATGTTGCAGGTGTGCTTGAGAAAACTGAGTACTTTGATGCTACTGTTGGGGGAATGTTTTGTAGATGTGTGTTAGGTCTAGTTGATGTATAGAGCTGCTCACGGATTCTATACTGTTGATCTTGTGTCTAAGTGTTCTACCTGTTATTGGAAATGAGGTATTGACATCTTCAGCTATTATTGTTGGATAGCTCACTTCATTTCTGACAATCTTTGATTCTTAACCACGGAATTGCCACAGAAGTCCCTTGCTTTAGCTTTCCTATGTTGCTGTTTACAAGGTGTCTTTTTTTTTCATCCTATTACTTTAAATCTATTTGTATTTTTGAATGTATAGTATATTTCCTCTAGACAGCATAGAGTTAGAGCATGTTTTCTTTTTAATCCATTCTGACAATCTATGCCTTTGATGTGATTGTCTAATCCATGAACATTTAGTGTTGGCGATATAGTTGGGGTTATAACTGCTGTTTCACTTTTTATGTTCCATTTATCTCAGTTTCATTTGTGTTCATTTCGTTATTCTTCCTTACCACTTTTTTTGCATAAACTGAGTATCTTTTTAGGGCTTCCCCAGTGGCTCAGCAGTGAAGAACATGCCGCAGTGCCGGAGACACAGAAGACTCGGGTTCGATCCCTGGCTTGGGGAGATCCTGGAGAAGGGAATGGCAACCCACTCCAGTATTCTTGCCTGAGAAATCCCAGGGACAGAGGAGCCTAGTGGGCTACTGTCCATGGGTTCGCAAAGAGTCAGGCATGACTGAGTGAGCACACACGCATGAATATTTTTAATGTTGCATTTTAATTCTTAAATGTTTTTCACTACATATTTTTAGTCATTTCTTTTGTGGTGCCCCCCCCAACCCTGTTCTGAGGCTCTCGTGTTTCTTCATTCTGTTTGCTGTCTTTTCTTCAGCATAACCTCTATCAGTCTATTTTCAGGTTCATTCATTCTTTCTTCTCTTAGTGCAGATCTACTGTTGAGCCCTTTAAGTGAGTTCCATTTGAGCTATTTTACTTTTGACACCAAATTTTCCATTTCTGTGAATAATTTCTATCCCTGTATTAATATCTGTTTGTTTATCAACATTGTCCTCCTACTTTACTTCTTCAATCATGGTTTTCACCAGTTCTGTGAGCAGGTTTATATTGGCTACTTTGAAGTATTTTTCTGATAGGTCTGATCACTGGTCCCTGTTCTGGGTGGTTTCTGTTGCTTGCTTGTGTTTGGATGTATGGCTTGTACTTTCCTGTTTCTTTGCACGTTCTGGAACTTACTGAAAGCTACATTTTAATAATGTATTAATAGCAACTGTCAGCACCAGCCCCCGCCCTCCAGGCTTGTTGTTGTTTGTTTGTTTGTTTAATGTCTGGCTGGATTATGTTAGTGACATCTGTCTCCACCCTCCAGGTTGAATGTCAGGTGCTGTTCCTCAAGGATGTATAGCTCTGGGTGTGCCCACATTGCCCTGATTGGGGTGGGGGGGGTGGTTGGCAGGCGTCCCCTCCTTTTTCCTGCCTACCTCCATCTGTTAAACTCCATGACTCTTTTCTTGTGGGAAGATTTCTCTATTGTTTTAAACTGTGCTCTGGGGCATGAATTGCTCTAAGAATGAATCAGTCAGATTTTGGCTCCTTGGAGGGAAAAGTCTCCAAGGCTCTGATCTTTGTTTGCACCCCACGTGGGTTCCTCCCGGCTTCCTGTTCCCGGTTCTCCCCTGTAAAGTAGTCACGACAGCTTAGCTTGTGTGGGATGGCCTTTCACTGCAGGCCCCTGCTCCCAAAAGCGCCCTCAGGATGAAAGGCTTCTTTCTGTTCTGTGCAGAAGAAGTCAGGTTTGGGGAGAAGAGCCTGGAAGCTATCCTTTTCCTTCTGCCCCAGACAGAGTCTCTTAGGTGAGACTCTGGAGCCGGGGGTTGGGACGAAGGCAGTCTTCTCTCCCAGCAGCACAACTCCCCACCCCAGGATCTGAACAGCAGCACAGGGTCCCTGCCTGCATCCAGCACGTTGCAGCAGGCAGGGCAGGCAGGGCCCCTGATCTCAGCCCACTGCCCACCGGGTAAAGCCCAGGTGCCGTGCTTGGGCCTAGGGAATGGCAGGGCCCAAGTCCCCATGTGCTCAGCTGGCAGCCAGGGCAGGAGGTGAGGCTGGAAGCCCTTCTTTCCTGGGGGAAAGCCCTGGCTGGGTCTGGGAGGGGTGCAGGAGGGAGCCTGGTCTGCCTGCTGTCCTAGTGCAGTCCCGGCCTCGTTGAACTGAGCTAGGGGCACGAGGTGAGAGGGAGCAAACTAGATTCTAGTACCACCAACTTTTCCCCAAATTTCTGTAGACTTTCTGCAGATTTTCTTCACTGTCTGTTTGTCCTTAGGACCACTTCCAGAGGCTGAAATGGTTTTGTTTTGTTTTGTTTTGCTATAATCTTCACCACCTTCCCTGGGGGGCAGGGAGTGGGGTTTTTGTACTGTCATGCTGGCAGTCAATCGCATCTTTTTTTTTTTTTTTTAAATTCCAACAATTTATTTTTCTAATGGAACAAAAATTGATGTACTCATTGGTCTTGCTCTCATAGAAGTAAATTTTACAGTATTTAAGAAGAAACAAAGATTCTGATGTTTTTCCAGCTTTCAGTTCAGTTCAGTTCAATCTCACAGTTGTGTCCGACTCTTTGCAATCCCATTGACTACAGGATGCCAGGCCTCCCTGTCCACCACCAACTCCCGGAGCTTACTCAAATTCATGTCCATCAAGTCGGTGATGCCATCCAACCATCTCATCCTCTGTCATCCCCTTCTCTTCCCAACTTCAATCTTTCTCAGCATTAGGGTCTTTTCAATCGCATCTTTAATGATGGAGAGACCTGAGTATGTTTAAACGCTCCTGTGAAAAACTCAGTGGTGGGGGCAGATTGAATTTGTGGGCAGAGATGGGAAATCAGTGGACACAGATCCTTTTAGGAGAACATGGAGTTGAGGACACATTGGGGGTGCAGAGTCAGGCACATGGAATGCACCTCTGATGTCACAGAGGTCAAGGGACCTCTCGTTGGGGCTGTGAAGTTCTGGAGCCCCTGAGGCTTGCAGGAAGTGCAGACACTTCCTGGGAGAGGGACAGAGGTGGGCTGGGGTCTCAGGGGGGGCATGTAAGATGGTGGCTTGCAAGGCTCTCGAAGCTGCTGGGCAGAGAGGGAGCCTGCATTTCCAGGAAAACATGTTAGGATTTGTAGTTAGAGGGTGGAGGGGAGGAGTCTCATCTTTTAATTCTGGAGTCTTCAGCAGACAGTTGTTATTAACCAGGCTCAGGATCCACTCTTAACCTTGTTGCTGAAGGTGCATGGAGTCCCGGATGGATGGTGTACTGGCTGGTGGTGGCTTGAAAGGGTGTGTTTCTCCATGTCCTCAACAGCACTACTTTGTTCTTTTCTTTTTGATGATGGCCATTCTGACAGGTGTGAGGTGACACCACATTGTGGTGTGATTTGCATTGCCGTGATGATTAGCAGTCTTGAGGATCTTCTCATGTGCCTTTGGCCACCTGCATGTCTTCTTTGGAAAAATGTCTGTTCATGTTTTTTTGCTTATTTTTTAATCAGTTCATTTGTTGGAGAAAAGGAAACTCTGGTACACTCTTGGTGAAAATATAAATTCATACATCCAGTATGGAGGTTCCTCAAAAAATTAAATATAGAACCACCATATGGTCCAGCCACCCTATTTCTGGGTGTGCATCCAAAGGAAATGACATCAGTAGCTTGAAGGAGGGATCTTCTCTGCATGCTCATTGCTTTAGTCACAGGAACCAAGACATAGAAATAGTCTTAAGTGTTTGAAGACAGATGAATGGATAAGGAAGATGTGAGGTTGGGGACGTCCTGCCATTTTTGATGACATGGATGAACCTGGTGGACGCTTGTCTAAGTGAAATGAGCCAGACAAAGATAAATGCGGTGTGGTACAACTTTTACGTAGAAACGAACACACACACATGCTTATGTCATTGAAGCTGAGAGTAGAATAGTGATTACCTGAGGCTGGGGAAGGGGCGATGTGAGCCCTGATCAGAGGACGTGAGCGTCCCGCTGAAAGACAAGTGCAAGTCTGGGGGGCCCGCCGCACAGCAGGGGCTGCAGTCAGCAGTGCTGGGCTGTGCCCTTTAAGGGTGCTGCGAGGAGGTGCCATGCGTTACCAGCACACTCACACGCACACAGATGCAAGACTCACCTCTGTGAGCTGAGGAGCGCGTTCCTGAGCCTGATGGCGCTCATCTCACAGTGTACACGTGTCTCAACTCTTCATGTTTATGCTTTAAACATTTTATAGTCTCATTGGTCAGTTTTCCCTCAGTAAACCCAAAATATACCTGAGGGCTTCCAGGGTCCATACTGATGAAAACTGGCTTGCTCATGTGTTAGAAAACTGAAGTTTATTATTTTAATGTTTCAGTTTTCATATGGATAGAGGTACTGTCTGAACAACTCCTGTCTAGGATTCCAGAGGGAGTTTGTGTCTGACCCGGTTAATCCCTGGGCTAAAAGAGTGAGGCAGAGGAGGCTCCCCGTGATGGAACTGGATGTGGGACAGAGGGGCCTTTCACAGAGGGAGTCATAAAACACATCTTGGGTCAAGGAGCATCATGCCCACAGTCAACCTCAGGGCTGGGGAAGGACGGGAAGAATCCCAGCGGTTCTGCTAGGGGCCAGACTGGGGGTGGGGGTATACTTCTAAAACTCTGAGCTGGCCACGGTGGTGCCATCATGTGAAAGGGCATCCACTGTCAGAAAACCGGAACCCAGCAGGCACTGCTGTGGACGTGGAGCAACGGGACCCTCGTGTGCTGGTGTGGGAGGTCAGCTGGTGCAGCCGCTGTGGGAGCAGATGAAGAATCACACTTCCCCAGAGCACAGATAGAGCTCCCTGTGCTGTACAGCGCTCTCCTACCAGTCTGCCCTGTACATGGTGTCAGCCGCCTGTGTGTGTCGTCCCGTCTCCCAGCTCCCTCCACCCCGCCTTAGCCCCTTGCAGTCCTTGTAGTTCTCTCCTGCAGTGTCTCTGTTGCAGATAAGCTCCCTTATAAACAGGTCAGTGTGCGTGCTCAGTTGTGTCCAACTCTGTGACTGTACAGACTAGAGCCCACTGGGCTCCTCTGTCCATGGGGTTTCCCAGGCAAGAATACTGGAGTGGATTGTCATTTCCTCCTCCAGGGCATCTTCCTGACCCAGGGATTGAACCTGTGTCTCCTATGTGTTCTGCATTGGCAGGTGGATTCTTTACCACTAGCACCACCTGGAAAGCCTTAAATGGGAGGGAAACCCAAAAGGAAAGGGAATATATGTATACATATGACTGATTTATTTTGCTGTGCAGTAGAAGCTAGCACAATGTTGTAAAGCAACTATACTGCAGTAAAAATTAAGAATAGAACTGCGTACGGTCGAGAAATGAACCCAAAGTACCAGGAGCAGGAACTCAGAGCCTTGTCACCATGTTCATGCTGTGCCATTCGCAGCAGGAGAACAGTGGGTTTATTGTGAGGACTCAGCCGCGGGATTGTAGAAGCTGGTAGACATATGTTATATGTTCATATACTGACATATATGTACACATGTGCACACTGTGTGTACATCCTGTTACCCAGCGGGTCTGCTTCCCTGAAGAACCCGACCACACAGTATTTATCTCTGTCTGGAACAGTCCTGAAAGATGGTTTTGTGCCTCTTGACCCAGCCAAGGCCATTGATTAAATGAATGTGCACTTGTAATTTATCTCAGTTACACATGGTCTGTGCACTTGAATTTTTTATGCTGAAAATAAATTTAATTGCATCGAATTAAATAGATGGGACCAGTATGCATCCTTGTCAACAGTAGAAAAGTAGGAAAGATGTGTTGTGAAAGGAGAGGATAGATGCAAAGCCAGCCCCAGGGGCCCCGCAGGGATTCCTGGATCCTGGGGACAGCAGCCCTCATGAGTGGAGGCCAGTCCAGCAGGAGGAGGCTACGGTTTCCTGATGGAGCCCAGGGCCCTGTGGTCTGTGTCTGTGACCCTGGGGTCTACTCTGCCCACGCTGGACGGTGCGGGAGCCTACCCTGTACCAAGCGCTAGACAGCTCTGGGCCCAGCCTCCCTCAGGATCTCCCTCCCTTTGGCCCAGGGCTGCCCTGCTGGCCACTGCACCCTTGTCTGGGGCAGCTGATGAAGGTTCCAGCCTCCCAGGAGAGTCTGCGTTCCCGTGACCTGACGGCTTTGAAGGTGCAGCAGAGGTCAAGGTGAGGCCGTGGTCAGGGTGGCTCTCACCCCCTGACCACTGACCCAGGTGGGCGGCCCTCCCCAGTGCAGGGCAGCTGAGGGCCTGCGCTCTGTGTCCTCAAGGCACGTGGAGATAGCTCGCCTTGTGCTGGCGCCCTGGGCGTCCATCCTGGGCCTCGGCAGCCTTGCTGAGTTGTGGGGGCCCTTTGTGTGCCCCAGTCCCGACAGACAAGTGAGTGGGATATGCAGGGACTGTCTGTTACTCAGCAGCAGCTGTACTTTGTGTGTTACTGAGATTCTGGGAGTGTGCTGGTCGTGGACTTCGAGGGGGAATCATCCCCTGAGCTCAGCTCCCTGACAGGCATGCTCTGCACCATCAGTGGGGCCTGAGCTCAGCCTCCCTCAGCCCTTGGACCCTCAGGTTCAGCACGTTTGAACTGGGGCAACACAGGGGGCCTCACAGAACCTCAGGGGGCTTACTCAGATGGCGAGGGTCAGGCACACAGCCCCACCGTTGGATTCTCACGTGTTCTTGGTCCCTGTTCCTGCCTCTTACACATAGCCCTTGGGGTTCGTCTCAGGATCATACAGGGACCACGGAGGTCACCCCCAGCCACCGGGTGTCAAAGATCCCACATCTCAGACACACAGGTCCCTCTTCTTTGTCTAACAAGTAGCTTTTATTTGTTAAAAGGCTGTAGGATCTACAAAAATACTTAAGACTAACTTTCACGTGTGTTAATCTGTAATCATTTAAACAGATTCGGGACCCCCACCCCATGTGCCACCCATGGCTCTGGGGGCAGGATGCAGCCGTGGGCCCAGCAGTGGATTGGGGGGGCCTGTGTTCTCACCGAGCAGGTGGAGGCGGCTGTGCAGACACTTGAGGTCTGCAGGCACAGGTGTGGTTGGGAAGGGCCCATCACACTGATTCTGCATCCCCACTGGACGTCTGGGGTGACAGCATGGAGGCAGCAATGGGGCTCTGAAGTCCTGGGAGGAGGAGGCGTATGGCTCAGGGCGTGTGGGTCATCGGGTGTCCATCCAGGGCCCAGGGAGGGTGGCTGGGGAGACACCCACACACAGGAGGATTCAGGGGGAGACCTGACCTTTGCGTTCCCAGTTGGGTACCCCTGAGCAGAGTGGATGGGGCAGGGTCCTGAGAGGGAGACCTCAGGTTCCAGCTCACACGCTCTCAGGGAGGGGCAGGAAGGAGACAGGTAAGCGTGAGTTACTTATTTTATAACCTCGAATGTTGAACATTCTGGATTTTCAAAGAAAGCAATTACCATTAGTTTCACAAGCACAAGGGAGCTGTTTGAATCTCCCAGAGCATTTAAAAATGTCAGTGACCTCCAGTTCCTCTTACTTCTATGAAATGAATTCTCTGGAGCTAGATGAGCCCACATCAAGATAGACAGCCCACTAGTGGTCAGGATACAGGATCTTAAATTGAGCATCTGTTAGCCACCAGGGAAGCACGTTTAAAAAGTTAGAAATGGTGTTTCTTCTCATCATTTAAATTGTCATGCCTTTTTAAGTCTGTTTTTGTGAATATAAGTTCTTAATTAGTTCTTAACCTCCTCAGCTAACAGTCACTGAAATGTAGAAAGAGCTAATGTGACGCTAGGACTGTGAAACAGTCAGTCCAAACTCATTCTGTGCCAATTCCTGCTATTTTTAGGCTCAGATGAATGTTCTGTGAAAAGTTAAATGGTCTCTTTGATAAGAATGGAATCCTGGTCATTTTCAGCAATTAACTTTTTCTTTTTTTCTGGCTGTACCTTGCGGCATGTGGGATCCTTGTTCCCTGACCAGGGATCTAACCCGTGCCCCCTGCAGTGGAAGCACAGCATCTTGACCACTGGGCCACAGAGTTTTAACCAGTCCCTCAGTCATTTTCCAATTCTAATGGGGAAAGTAATTTAGACAAATTGCATGTGGTGTGTGTTTGTGCGTGTGAATGTGTGTTTGGAACTCCTACATGCGGCTTCCCGTCTGCAGCCACAGGACAGGGTAATAAAGGATGTTTATTCAATTCAACAGAATTGAATGTTTGACAGTATGAGGCTTGAAGTCAGGCTGTCAGGGGGGACATTCTTCTAAATCCTGGAGACCCCATCACACACTGTGGCCGTGGGAGGCTGGTTCTGAGCTCCATTTAGAGGGAGGGATTCATGTTCAGATTCTCACTGCCAGGAAGAGGGATTCCTCAGGGTGACCTTGTAACGAGAGTCACTTTCTATTTGCCTCCACCAAAAAATAGAGGCTCTGATAGAAGGTGCCCACGGGAGCTCCCTACTGAGCTGGACTCCCCATGAGGACAAGGAGGGGCAGTCCTAGGGGCCACAGATTCCCACCACCTCCTCTTGGGTCCAGGCCCTCTGGAATTGGAGGAAGCTCCCATACTGGAAAGGGTGACCTGATTTTCTGAGTCCACCAAGTCAAGCTGGCTTCACCCAGAAACACCTGGAGAGGACATTTAATATGGGCGTTTCAGACTTGGTCAAGTTGTGTGTAAAAGTCACAGTCACCCCTGCACAGAGCAGATCACAAGAGCGCCTCTGAGAAGAGGTGGACGCACAGGTTGGGCTGAGCACAGCCTGCCTGGGCTGGGGAGCAGGGGGGGGCTGGGCCTCAGAGGCTGAACCCCTGAAGAAAGGTCATCAAGGAAAAAAGATGTCACTTCTGACCAGAGTCCTGAGAGTGCAGAGGTCACCGGAGGGCGTCCCAGGTGCCCCCGTTTTGGACAGTGGTTCGCTGAAGACTGGGAAGTGCCGTGACCGTGCACTCAGCTGGTGCTACACTGTGGAAACTGCTGTGGAGCGAGCTAGTTAGTGCTGGACTGGTTAGTGCTTGACTGGTTAGTGCTGGGCTAGGTAGTGCTGGAGTGGATCGTGCTGGGCTGCTTAGTGCTGGACTAGATAGGCTGGAGTGGTTAGTGCTGGGCTAGTCATGCTTGGCTAGTTAATGCCGACCTAGTTAGTGGTGGGTTGGGTAGTGCTGGGCTGAAGGTGCTGGACTAGGGCTTCCCTAGTCACTGTCATTGTTTCAATTGTTTCCCTGTCTGTTTGCCATGAAGTGATGGGACTGGTATGTGAAACAACAGTACGTGAACTGAGAACTTCAAGATGTTCAGGCTGGATTTAGAAAAGGCAGGGGAACCAAAGATCAAGTTGCCACCATCTGTTGTATCATAGAAAAAGCAAGAGAATTACATGAAAACATCTACTTCTGCTTCACTGACTATGTTAAAGCCTTTGATTGTGTGGATCACAACAAACTGGAAAATTCTTCAAGAGATGGGAAAACCAGGCCACCTAACCTGTCTCCATGTATGCAGGTCAAGAAGCAGCAGGTAGAACTGGACATGGAACAGCAGACTGGTTCCAAATTGGGAAAGGAGTTCATCAAGGCTGTGTATTGTCACCCTGCTTATTTAGCTTATATGCAGAATATATCATGTGAAATGCTGGGCTGGATGAAGCACAAGCTGGAATCAAGATTACTGGGAGAAATATCGATAACCTCAGATATGCAGATGACACCACTCTTATGGCAGAAAGTAAAGAAGAACTAAAAAGCTTTTTGATGAAGGTGAAAGAGGAGAATGAAAAGGCTGGCTTAAAACTCAACATTCAAAAAACTAAGATCATGGCATCTGGTACCATCACTTCATGGCAAATAGATGGGGAAACAATGGAAACAGTGAGACACTTTATTTTCCTGGACTCCAAAATCACTGCAGATGTTGACTGCAGCCATGAAATTAAAAGACACTTGCTCCTTGGAAGAAAAGCTATGACAAACCTAGGCAGCACATTAAAAAGCAGAGATGTTACTTTGGCAGCAAAGGTCCGTATAGTCAAAGCTGTGGTTTTTCCAGTAGTCATGTACAGATCTGAGAGTTGGACCATAAAGAAAGCTGAGCACCAAAGAATTGATGCTTTTGAACTGTGGTGTTGAAGAAAACTCTTGAGAATCCCTTGGACTGCAAGGATATCAAGCCAGTCAATCCTAAAGGAAATCAGAATCAGTCCTGAATATTCTTTGGAAGGACTTATTCTGAAGCTGAGACTCCAATACTTTGGCTCCCTGATGTGAAGAGCTAGCTCATTGGAAAAGACGCTGATGCTGGGAAAGATTGAAGGCAGGAGGAGAAAGGGATGACAGAGGACGAGATGGTTGGGTGGCGTCACTGACTCGATGGACATGAGTTTGAGCAGGCTCTGGGAATTGGTGATGGACAGGGAAGCCTGGGGTGCTTCAGTCCTTGAGGTCACAAAGAGTTGGACACGACTGAGTGACTGAACTGTACTGAGGGCTTCCCTGGTGGTCCATACAGTGAAGAATCTGCCTGCAATGCCAGAGACCTAGATTCGGTCCCTGTGTTAGGAAGATCCCCTGGAGAAGGGCATGGGAGATTCCCTCATTGGGATAGAATACTGAAATGGGATTCTTGCCACTCCAGTATTCTTGCCTGGAGAATCCCCTAGACAGAGGTTGCTGGCAGGCCACAGTCCATGGGGTCACAAAAAAGTTAGACATGACCAAGCGACTAGTACTTTCAGGTAATGCTTGGCTAGTTAGTGCTGGGTTGCTGTGCTATCCTGGTTAGTGCCTGACTAGGTAGTGCTGGACTAGTTAGTACTGGGCTAGTGAATGCTGACTAGACAACCACCTTAGCACCTGTGTCCCCCTTCCTCTCTACACAGTGTGAGTCAGTGTCCTGCCTGCCCCATGTGTGCCTCCTGTTTACTGTACACCCCCCTCCAAAGCCCCCAAGTGTCACTCCATCAGCTCTCATGGAGACAGCATTGTGGTCATGTGGCTGTGGTGGCAGGTCATGGGCTGTGACCTGATCTTCAGGTACTGTGTCCACTTCTTCAAGATGTATTCCTGGGAAAAGTCAATGGTATCAGTTTGGCCCTGAGGATAGTCATCAGGGATCCCTTGGCATCCTCTTCTGCACATTTCTGTGGCTTATCTGTTGGCAGTAATCCCTTAGAAGAGTAGCCTGGCAACAGTGCTTTCAACTGTCCCCTGAGACAGAGATGCACACAGGGACACCCATTAGGTGGATGTTTTGATGGATCAGGCTAGCACTTTCCCCTCTGGGTGTTCATAGGCAGAAGGAACACGAGAGGCTTCTGTGGTCAAGTGACTTTAACTGCAGGACCTGGCAGAACTTTCTCATGATCACGTGCGTTTTCGTCCTGCATGTGGGCTGTA